AATGCAAACTATTGATGTGCCAGGCCTGGTGGGGGTGCTGCCTCTGCAGTCAGCAGGCTGTTACCAAGTGAGACAGGTACATCATCCAGTTTTCTTAGAGTCCACAATCCTAGCTTTTAAAATCCCATATTTGAATATTGATCATTTAAAAAAAAAAATCACTACTGCCTCAACAACATCTGCAGGCCAGATAAGGCTTTTGGGTCACTAGCTGTTCACCTCTGTTCTATGCCAAGTGAGAAAGGGAAGGGTCTTCAGCAGGATACAGGAGCCAATCACCCACTGCCTCACCAGGTCTGAACTTAAGCTGGTCCTTTGGCCCTCATTTTGCAAGTTGTTTTCTACCCGTGGGCCTACACGCATTCACAGAGCTCCATCTCCATGTGCCAATCAGTGGTGGGCTGTGTAAATATGAAAAGCTAGACCCTGCCCTCAAGCAGCTTAAAATCTAGCAGGGAAACAGACAAGGCAACAAACAACCTGGAGATGAAAGCATTACTTCCTTGGAATCTAAACAAAGAGAGCCCCTCAGTCTAAGTCCAAGAAAACTCAGAGGGTGAGGAGAGGTATGCCAGGTAGATAAGCAGAGGAACAATGGGTATAAAGGTATGCCGACTAGGTGGCTGCAAAGAGTTGATCAGCAGTAAATGGAAGAGTGTGAAGTGGGCAGTGTTGGAAGATGATGTTGCACCAGTGGGCATGGACTAGATCTTTCAAGTCCTGGTGTGTTGTGCTAGGCAGCTTAGCTGTGGGAGAATGCTGAAACTGCAGAATTTTGAGCAGATTGAAAATGACCCAGTTTGCATTTAAGAAACATGGCTTTGACTGCAAGAGGAACAACTGAGGCAGAGAACTCAGAAAAGAAATAAGATGTCTGAATCAAACCAAAGCCAGTGAGAATGAAGAAAATATAGATAGGAGTCAGTTACTAGGGCTTGGTGATTCATTGCAAGTGAAGAGGATAAAGATGGCTCCCAGATTCCTGACCTGGGCCATTGAGTGGAGAATGAGGCCATTCATCATCATGGGGAACAGTGGGAAAGAAACAGGTTTGTGCAAAATATATACTTGTTTTGGTAAATGGTAAGAATTCATGCTGCTGGTGGGATATCCAGGAGACAGTTGCTTTCTGCATCTGGAGCTTGGAGAGAGGTCTGAGTGAGTGACAGATTTGGGAGTTGTCAGTACAGAGGGTCCTTAAAGCCAAGGGAGTAAGTGAGATCATGTGGGAAGTGACAAGAGAAGGGAAGGGTTCCAAAGCTAGCAGCAACTACTCATAGGGCTGTTCTTGTGCAGAGTGGAAGCCAACTCCTGCAGAAAACTTCGTGTTACAAGGCAGACTGAGTTCTGTACTTTAGTGAAGGATGGTCAGAAAGTTCTGGGCTCCGGATGGGGGAAGAGGGATGGGCGGGACAGGCAGGGTTAGGATAACTTGGCTAAACCAAGCTAGTTCCAGGAAATTCAGCTGCGAGGGAAAAAGGGGGACCTAAGCTGCAGTTGTGAGATATAACCACGAGGTGGCACCTCAGAATCTTCCTGAGCCAGATTTCCTGGCATCCTGCAAACAGGCCCTGAGTAGGAGGCTGGCAAGAGGGTGGCTGTGTCAATAAAGGAGGCAGACCTGAGTATTTTCTTAACATAAAGTCCACATGCAAGTTCGCTGATTCAAAAGAGAGGGAAAATTTTGAGCCTAGGAAAAAAGCAATATGACAAGTATGCCTAATGGGATTCCATGTATGTGTGAACATGCACACCTATGTGCCAATATATGTCCTGTGTTCTGTGTGCATGTGTGTTTCCCTTGGATATCTCTGTGTGTGTGTTGCATGGGCCATGTGTCAAGAGGTGTCTGCACATATACCCCAGTGCACATCCCAAGCCTTCACATATATGCGTGTGTCCCAGAGAGTAGGCAAATAGCAATGCCTATCTCTATCTCAGAAAGTGAGGTGTCCCTAAGCCCTGAAAAAGAAAGATCACAGGGCTGCAGCCAGAGGGTCCTGAAGTCTTTAGGAGCCCCAAAAGCCTCAGCAGGTCATGGAGAACTTGCCTCATCCCGAACATGCCACAGGTAAGAATCACTCACTCATCAAATGAGCTCCTGCAATTATACTTGTGTTCTGTCTAGTTACCATGGTCATGTTCACGTGGAGGATCTAAAGGACCTAAAGGATCCCTCACTAGACCATGGGATTCATAAATGTGTTCATTGTTTCATTTATCATTTATTTAACAAGCATTCATTGAGCACCTGCCATGCACCAAGCCTAATGCTAGTTACAGTCTGTTTTCTCCTTTCATCTTCTTGTGCAGCAGATCATGAGGCAGGAAAGAAAAATTAATTGCAGCTGCAAAGAGCCTGGAATGCTGGTTAGAGTGTTTAAACTTTTTTCCCCTGAAGATGTGCCCAGGGGGTCTCCCGGAAATTTTTCAGGAGGGAAATAACGTGGTCCAGTCACTCATGTTGCTGAATGAAATTAGAATTGGATCAGAAGAGATATGACTGAAGTCATGGACCAGTTAGGGGGTTGTTGAAATGGCCTAGGCAGTGGTTCTCAAACTTTAGTGTCCTGAGTCACCCTACTGGCTTATTAAGAACACAGGCTGTATTGATGATTCATAGGTGGTCTGCAGTGGGTCTAAGAACTAGCACTTCTAGCAAGTTTGCAGGTGTTATACATACGCGACGCTTGAACACTTTGAGAACTATTGGTCTATAAGGAAAAGTATGGTGGTGTAAGATGCTGGCAGAGAGGCAGAGAGAGACTTAAGGGTTAGACATGAAAACACTCCATGAGGATTAGCATATGCAGGTGAAGGGAAGGTCTGAGTCTGGGGAGATTGTTTTTAATTTGCAGAACAGTGGTGCCATTTACTATAGAACAAAGCAGTTTGGGGTTGACGGTGGGAGTGGAGATGTGGAATTCAGTTGGGGACTTGGAAAAACTCGGCTGGCTGCAGCCAGATATCTGGAGAAAATATTAAGTTGGCACTGGCATCTGGAGGTCTGGATTTCTAGTGAGATCACAGACCACAGATGACAAGGGGGGAGATAAGAGCAGATAGGTAGTCATTAAAGTTTTGAAAGAGGATGAGCTCACTTATCAAGAGAGTAGACAGGAAAAGACAGAAGCTTTGGCCTGAGACTGAATAACTGACCTTAAAGATGAAAAGAGGAGGTAGAGAAGAAGACAGAAAAATGGATAGAGTAGTAAGGAAGAGAATGGAGAAGGGAGTGTCTTCCGCTGCAGGGAAGTAGGATGAAGAAACCAAAGGAAGCCTCCAGACAGGCAAGCTATCTGGTCATTCGGCCTTCCCAAGCCTGCTGGAGAATCCCCAGGGGAAGCCCAGAGCTGAGCAGGGCTCCTCAGGCTCCCTGTCCCTGGACTTCTCCGAAAGGGGTCCACCAACCTGCATGCCATGCACTGACTTCAATTAACCTGTGAACCTGGGCTAATCCCTTTTCCTCTCTGACCTCAGTTTCTGCACCTGCAACAACAAAGTAGGGGACATATACACCTGTCCTGGAGTCTCGTTTCTAAAGTCCTGTGGTTGAAGTTGGGAAATGGGAAGCGGTTCCGTGACACAATCCACACACCCACATATAGAGACACACTAACACTCCTGACGTCTGATCTGTCCTGGGCACAAAGATTGCAGAACTGCCCAAGTCTGCTTAGTTCGTCACCCTAGCAGATGGTTCTATCCTCCAGAACATTCTTAGTGATGAGTTCTCAGCTGCTGGAACATTACCTCCCCCTTTCCCAGAATCCACCAGATAGAATGGACCTAGACCTGAGCTCTGCACCTGCCCTGTGCCTTCTGAGACATCCTTCTCAAGCCTCCTGCATATACAGCCTGTGGATTCAGTTTTGCCTCCATATCCCTTTCTCCTCTAGTCTGTCTCAATATTTCCCCATTTTCTTGCTCATTCTCTACTTCACTAGCAAGGAATCTAAAACAACAACAACAACAAAACACTTCTAGTCCTTTCTCTCCTCCCCTACTTTTTGTTGTTGACAGTGTAGAAACTGAGGTCAGAAAAGGGATTTGCCCAGTGTCACCGGTTAATTGGAGTCAGGACTAAATTCTAGGCCTGTGAGTTTCAGGCAATACAAAGTAGTAATCCTGAGCAGAGAGAGAAGAGAACTAGAGGTATTGCTCTGCCCTATGACTAGCAGCTTGACCTTGGGCAAGTCATTTAACTTCTCTGTGCCTCATTTTCCTCCCCTGAGGTAGGCATAATGATATCTGTCTCATCGGGTGTTGTGGGTTTCAAAATTCAATATTCATCAACTACTTAGCACACAACCTGACACACACTGTGATAAATGTTTGTTGTGGTTATTTCTATTATGCCCTGATCTGAGAGTCTTCTCGCTTTCTTTCCCTTTGCCTTTAGCATTCCTCTCTTTTCCCTTTTTTTACCCCTAGTCCCTGCTTCTCAAGAAGGGAGGGCTGGATTTGGGGAGACAGAAAGAGAAAGTGACTGCGGAGCCTGGAACAGGCTTGAGAAACAGCCAGTAAAAGGTTCGCGCGGACACACACACACACATACATGAGTCGTGGGCTTCAGTCTGCAGCTCACCAAATTGTTCCACATTCCTGATCACCCACCTTATCTATTGCCCCGTGAAATAATTAGAGAAAGAAGTGACGGTACCCATTTTACAGACAAGGAAGCTGAGGCCGGAGAAGTGCATCCAAAGGCAAGGATGCAATGGAGCAGAGGCGCAAACCCGGGGTCCTCAAGTCCCTGCCTCGAATCCTTCCATTTCAACACCCCTGGGAGCCTGGAATCTCGAAGGCGGCTCAGACCCGCGGGCTTGGATTCTTGCCCGGCTACCAGCCCACGGCGTCGCGCCAAAGCCCCGCCTCCCCCTGAGCGGCCGCTTGGGAGAAGGGCGAAAGCTGCCACCGCGTGTCTCTTTAATGCGCGCCCCCGGAGGCCCGGCGCGCCCCCGCCACTATAATTGGAGTGCATGGAGCAGGCTGCGCTCAGAGGAAGAAGGCGGGCACCGGGCACCAGTTGACCGACTTTTTCAAGTGCGATCAGCGCCCGCCGGGCTCAGTCCCGCCCCCATGGACCCGCTCGGGGGCGCCCGCAGCTGAGGACCCGACGCCCGCTGGGCTCCGGGCTCGGGGGCGCCCCGCCGACGCCAAGGGACCCCGGGCGGGCTGTGCCGGCTCCAGCGCCTCTTCCCGCCGCGCTCGCCGTCGGGCGAGAGAGCCGCCGCCGCCACGCCTCGCGCCCCGCGCTGCCCGCCCCATGCTGGTGCACACTTACTCCGCCATGGTGAGTTGTCCGGGCTGGGGGCGCAGGAGACACCGGGCGGGGAGATCGGGGAGCCTGGGCGCTGGACGTTCCGAACCTCCTCCTCCAGCGAGACGTCGGGGGGAAGGAGCTAAGGGACTCCGCCAGCTGAGGACGGTGCGCGCAGGGACCGCTGTCCCTAGCCCCCGGCCCCCGCAGTCACTTGGAGATAGAACTTCGGGTCTGGGGAGGTGGCCAGGACGGCAACTGGACCCTGACGGGCTGAGGAGGGAACTTACCCGCCGGGGTCCTGCCCGTGGGTGACCTAACGCGCGCTTCTCCTTCCCCAGGAGCGCCCCGACGGGCTGGGCGCAGCGGCTGGCGGCGCCCGCCTGTCGTCTCTGCCCCAGGCGGCCTACGGACCTGCGCCTCCGCTCTGCCACACGCCGGCCGCCGCAGCCGCCGACTTCCAGCCGCCCTACTTCCCGCCGCCCTACCCGCAGCCGCCACTGCCCTACGGCCAGGCGCCCGATGCCGCGTTTCCCCACCTGGCCGGGGACCCCTATGGTGGCCTGGCACCCCTGGCGCAGCCACAGCCGCCACAGGCCGCCTGGGCCGCGCCTCGCGCCGCCGCCCGCACTCACGACGAGCCGCCCGGCCTGCTGGCGCCGCCCACCCGTGCCCTGGGCCTCGACCCGCGCCGCGACTATGCCGCTGCGGTGCCCCGGCTCCTGCACTGCCTGACCGACGGCGCGCACGGCCTGGCGGATGCGCCCCTCGGCCTCCCGGGGCTGGCGGCACCGCCCGGCCTAGAGGACCTGCAGGTGAGGCCAGAAGGGCCCGGGATGGGCCACTACCCCCTCGGTGATTTAGGTAGGATTCGTTGAAGGCAAAGAGTGAGGAATGCATCCCAGAACCCGAGTTTTCTCCCATCTTGCCACCTCTCTCTGGTGACTCAGAGAATGTGTCCCAGGGTTAGTCACACCCTGGCCTTTAAGGCCGGCTGGCCCTGAGTCCTTGCACAGCACCTGATGACTGCAACTCTTGGTAGAGTAAAAGGGCAGGGATTGAACCACTCCTGTCCCTCCACACTAGGCCAAGAAGGGCAACTATGCCTAGTCCAGTTGTGAGAAAGAGAAGTCATCCAAGTTTTCAAATTCCCTTTTTGCACGGCACAGGGAGGTACCGTGTCTGGTTGAAGAGGTTGTCAAGCCTTGGGGAATCCTGGTACCGCCTATCTGGCCCAAGGTTATTTGGTCACCATCCTTTCCTACTTGCAGATCATGGATGAGCCAGGAATGAGCCTTCTGGACCAGTCTGTGATCAAAAAAGGTAAAAAAATGGTGTGTTTCTGCCAGGGCAGAAGCAGGGGAGATGGTGCAGGCCCCGGGGCACACAGACCCATTTTCTTCCCTATGGTGTGTGTCTCCTGTGCTTTGCCTGGCTCCGTGGTCACTGGGCACTCTTCTGGTTGGGAGGGCAGTGGAGGCTGGGAGCCTGGCCAGAGCTTGAGCAGCCATGCCTGTTGGTGAGTTGACCCCAGGACCAGTCCGTGCACTCAACTGGCTCCCCTCACAAGCCAAGGCCCCACAGGGGCCTGGCCTCTCCCTGCCTAACGAGGGCATTCTTGTGGGTCTGGAGTTAATTTGCAGAACGAGTTAAACCACTTTCCTGTTTCCTAAGAGGTGGGAATGGGGGTGCTGTTCCCACGGATTTGTTAAATGATTTCCACATTACTGAGTCTTAGCATTTCCTAGCCTGGCTCGAGCTTTCTGCCAGCTTCCTTCCCAAGAGGGAGGGGGAGGGACTCACATTTCCCTGGAGAATTTTTTCTCCTGGCGGGAGCCTCTTTTGGAGGCGAGGGTTAGGGAAGCTGGTGCGTGAGTAAAGTCCACTAGTTAGCCTTGTGCAAGGAGGGTCAGGGCCTACCTGCTCCTGGGTGTGGGTGTGTATGTGAGAAGGTCTTGTACATGTTTATATGTGCCTTCCTAGGTATCTTTTTCTTAGTGTGTGTCTCTGTTACTGTGTGTGATGCATGTCTGTTACGTTGGTGCACATTTCCATATGGTTGGGTGTGTATGTCAGGGTCTCTGATGTGCCCTAGAATTTATTCTTTAGCACTGAGGACCTCTAAGCACAATGAAACTTGCTCCCTGTGTGTTGTGGGGGTTGTTTGTGTTTCTTTGCATTAGTAAAAGCCGAAGGTTTTAGACCTGCCCTCCAGTGGATTTTCTGGTCTGAGGGCTGAGTTCCAGTTATGCCAGGAAAAGGTGAGAAAGAAAGCAAGGGAAAGACAGAGACAGAGATTCAGAGGGGTCAGGGCATGGGGGGCGGACTTTAGATTTGGGGCTGGTACTCAGAAGGGATTCCTAGGCTCAGACAAGCCCTTCATGCCTCAGGAAGGTGCTGCTCACTGGGGATTTGGCTTGAATTGTTTTTCAAAGGAGTGAACTCAAGCCCTAGCTCTGTTTGCCCTCCAGGTGTACTCAGAGGAGACAGACAGGGGTGGGGTTCTGGGATTGGGGGTTTGAGGGCTGGAGCTAGGGCTGGGGGACCTGGGACTTGGGGTGTGTGTGGGAAAGATGAGGGGTCTTCGAAAACCTGAGGGCTCCAGGTATTGGAGCTGTGTCGCCTGGAGATAGGAGTGTCAGGAGGCTGCTGGGAACCCACTGCCTGGAACGGGGCGGAGGTGTGTATTCTGGACCTAGCTGCAGGGTGCTGCTTTGGTTTAATGGACTTTCTGGAATTCCAGGAAAGGGAGAGCTTGCAGTTGGCAAGAGCCAGTTGCTGGGCTGTAGCCACTGGAAAAATGACCGTGGTTTGAACTCTCCTCTCCCCTGTTCCTCTTCCCCTACCCCACCCCAGACCACTTCTGAAGGGCTTGCGCTCCAGAATTTGGAGGACTTCGGTTTACTGACTCCCTGGGGAAGCCCAGTCTCTAGCACTTGCGGAAGGAAGGAGTGGGAATCTCTGCCCCGGGCAAGTGCAGAAGGATCAGCTGGGGGGCTCCGAGCACTTAAATCCCCAATCCCCAGGTCAGAGCCAGGTGGGGAGGCTACCTGCAAGGAGGGACTGCAATTTCCCGGAGTTGATTTCTCTCAAAGGACTTTAGCTTCCATTACCCGGGTCCTAGATGCACGACCGTATCCTGAAAGGTTGTCCCAAGAACACAAATGCGGGCCGGGCTGCTTCTGCGCGCCGGTTCCAGGGCGAGCGTGCGCGCTGGTGCAGCGCGGGGCGTCCCCGGCGGGCACGGGTGCGCACCCCACCCGGCCGCAGCGTCACCTCGCCGGCGGCCACGCGGCGCACCTGCCACCTGGGCTGGGAACTGCGCCCTGAGCCCCTCTCCCGGGACGTGAGTTACCACCCCGATCGCCGCAGCCAAGAGGTGCGGGTGAGAACCCGGGCTTCCTGCGAAGAAAGCGTGCGGTTCGCGAGCGGCGAGCTGGGCCTCCAGCTGGTGCGGCGGGCCTTTGGGAGCAGAGGGTCAGAGGGTCAGTACCCACGTTTTCGGGCTTTGCGAACGCCAAAGCAGAGCTGGTCCCCTGAGGTCCCGATCTAAGAGGGTGCGTGGCTCGCCTCGGAGCGCAGCCGCGGGCGCGGGAAGCGGGCGTGCGGCAGGAGCCCCGCATCCCGAAGCTTCCAGGCCCCGCTCAGCAGGCAGTTTTCTGCCGTCTCGCGGGACTGTGGCCACTGAGCCACCCCTTAGCGGGTGAGGATTAGCGTTCTTCTTCGTCCTCAGGCCCTTCGGACAGCAGCTGGAGTCCGTCTCCTGGCTCAAAGACCTCTCTGACACCGACGCGGTAGTGGGGATCCCTGCTCCCCCTGGGCCCTGGAGTTGCACACTGTCGCCCTTAGCCAGCCGAGGCTTCTGATTCCTTCTGCATCTCCCGACCCCGGCGGGAGCGGCGCCTTGAATCGCTGGCTGTTGGGGTCCTGGTGCAAAACGGTGCCCCAGAAAGGGCCTTCCTACTTGGAGGGTGTGTCTGGGAGGGGAGCCTGGAAGCTCTCCCCGCTCAGACTTAGGTGGTTAAATCTCCGCTTCTCCAGCACGAGCCCGGAAAGGGAGGCGAGCTGGGCCTCCGCAGATACTTCCAGGCCAGTGGCCCGCTGCAGCCACATGTGGGTCAGGGCATGGCACGTTGGGCACAGGCCCACCTGGAGGGAGCCCTCCATTTAATGCAGACATTTGTCACCTCCAGTTTTGCGACCTGCCGGAGGGATTCTGACCTAGGAATTCTGACCTAGGTGTTCTCTTGTACCAGTCGGTCGGTCAGTCAGTCCAGGTAGGAGCTCAGAGGAGAAGCAGTGAGTGCCCCAGGTGGGGCGTCTTCAGGGGAAGAGACTTTTGGACAGAGCTCGGTAGGGGCTCCAAGGGTATCTGTTGAGTGAATTGTGAAGGGTGTTCAAATCTGAGTGCGCTGGGAGAGGGGCTGGGAGAGGGGCGTAGACAGAGCTATTTTCACCGCACAGCATGTGCAAGAGCCCTGCCAGTGACACAGTCCGAGCAAGGAGAAAAGTTCAAAATAAATCTCCGTGGGTTTCAGGTTATACAGTCACAGTTGGAGAAGATGTGAGAATTGAGGCTGTCCTCTGGGGAAAGTGGGTGCTTTGGAATGGGAAATCCCTCTCTGCTGGGCTCCATTACATTACGGGACCTCAGGGGGTCTGGCTGGGGCTGACATAAATAATCAGGGTCCCCTTGTCTCCTTCACTGACCTTGGCTCCGGAGGAGGAAAAGGGAGATGGGGAGGGACTGGGGAGTACATTTCCTAGCAGGGCCAGGCCCAGGGTGAAGTGAGTGAGGTGCTCATCTCAGCCACAAGATTTAAGAGGGTCCCCCAAACCCTAATCAAGTTGAATAATATATTATTTTGCATTTAAAATTTTTAAATGCAAAAATCCCTGGTAAGCAACATATCAAATTTTACATGAAAACAGCCTGACCCTGCATTCCATAACCCTGCCTCACTTGCCTCCCAGACCTCTGTCTGCCCCAGAAAGTGACTTAAAAACTAGTGCCTGTTCAGACATAGTTTGGAGGGTACCTGAGGGCAACGTGGAGCATGGGAGTGAAAGATGGAAGCCGTGCTAAAGGAAACCTTCTGACAACTGTGAGAAGGAAACAACCAGCAGGTCCCGGCCGGGGAGAGGGGAGGACACTGGACAGGATTGGGAAGAGGATCTGCCTTCCTCCTGGGATCCTCCCCCAAGGTACCCTAAAGTGATCTAAGGGAAACGCCTCAGTGTTACCTGGGGTGCTTGCTTAAAAATGCAGATTTCCTGGGCACCCCCACAACTACTGAATGAGAATCCCTGGAAGTTTGCATTTTTAAAACTGGTTTATTGAAGCAAAATTTACATTCCTAAAATCCATCCATTATAAGAGTACAATTCAATGACTTTCAGTAAATTTAGAGTTGTGTAAACATTACCATATCTGTTTTAAGACATTTCTATCACCTCAAAAATTTCTTCATTTCCATTTATAGCTAATCCTTATTCCCATCCCAAATTTTAGGCAACCACTAATCTGCTTTCTGCCTAAAATTTGCATTTTCTGGACATGTTCTATAAATGGAATATATAAATATACAGAACATATAAATACACAGATTTTTGCATCTAGCTTCTTTTCCATGTTTTTGAGAGTTATCCCTGTGTAGTCAGTGCCATTTGTTTGTTTCTTTTTATCGTTGAGTGATACCCTACGGCATGGATGTCACTCATAGTTGCCTGACACGGGTTGTTTTCACTTTTTTGCTCTTGTGAATCGTACTTCTGTGATCCTTCAGGACGTGTCTTTGTGTGGACATGTGTTTGCATCTTGCTTAGGTAAATGCCTAGGAGTGGAATTGCTGGACTTTATGGTAAGTTTGTATTTAATTTTTAAAGAAACTGCCAAGCTGTTTTCTAAAGTGACTGTGCTATTCTGTATTTCTACTAGCAATGTGTGAGGGTTCCAGTTTCTCCAACATCCTCATTGGCACTTAATATTTGTTTTTTTTAATCATAGTTACCCTAGTGGAATCTCAGTAGAGTTTTAATTTACGTTCCCCTAATGACTTATAGTGTTGAACACTTATTCAAGTGCTCCTTAGCCATTCATTTGTCATTTTTAGAAATGTCTATTCACATATTTTGACCATTTTCTAATTGGGTTGTTTCTCTTATTGCTGAGTTATAAGAATTCTTTGTATATTCTGGATACACATCTTTGGTGAGATGTGTGATTTGCAAATATTTTCTTCAAGTCTTTGGTGTGTCTTTTCATTTTCATAATATCTTATGAACTTCTGATGAAGTTCAACTTATATTCTTTACTGGATAATGCTTTTGGGGGTTTACTAGGAACTCTGACCAGCCTACGGTCATGAAGATTTTTATCCTGTTTTCTTCTAGAAGGAAGTACAATTCTGGAAGTGTCTGTTGCACACTCCCAGGCTCAGTGGTCAGGCCATATCTACCACCTGTGGAGAGAGTAGACTTGTGTGTGAGCCTCTTACCTCACTGATTGGATAACTGGGAACTCTTGTGTCTGTAATCTGGTATATATGAGGATGGCTCTGCATGTGTGACCAGAGGAACAGCATGAACAGACCACGTCAGCATTAGGAATCACCATGCATGGGAGATACCTCCAAGGAGATACCTTCTCTCCTTGCAAATCTCTGCTATTTTAATTCCCACCTCTATGACTATCCCTTTCCCAGGCCACCTGTTTCCCTAAATTAGGCTCCATTGTTTTGCCATTTTTTGATGGAAGAGGATCTGAGAAAAAGGGGACAAGTGGGAAAAGCAGCAGGGTCTATCACTGATATACACAAACATATCCTCTCCTCATACACCTGCACTTAGCTGCACCTATGTTTACATAAATCTGGCACACATTCTATGTTTAAATATATTAACAGGAAGAAAAGCACTTACAGATATCCATGTGCATGCTGTCATATTCCTGCCACAGAGAAGGGTAGAGACTGTGTATATAGCTGGCGCTCAGTGTTTATTGAATGACTAAGTGTGCACATGCACAATCTTACCCTCACAACCGTGACTATAGAGAACATAATCATTTTGTGATACTCGTGTATCACACATGTCCCTATTTGTACATCCACAGCGTTACACAGCCTTGTCGCTCTTTCCTTTCACAGGACCTGGCCTCAGGGGTCCCCAGTTTTTCTTTTTAATTAAAGATTTATTTTATTTATTTATGCCTACAAGAGCTGGAGTGTAGGCCAGGGATACAGGGGGGTGAAAGAGTGGGGACAGAGACAGAGTGGGGAGCAGAACTAGCAGATAGATTGACTGAAATACACTGCTAAAGGGAGAAGCAGGGAGTCCAGAGATCTAACTCTTGCTGCAGTGGCTATAGATAGCTTCACAGTGCTGAGACTTAACCCCTTGCGCCACCAGGGAGGTCTTACCCCCCTTCCTAACCCAGGTTTTAAAAGAAATTGGATGGAGGAGGCTACTGGAGGAAAGAAGAAATTTCTGTTGCTCTGAGTATTCCTCACTCTGGGAGAGGGCAAGGATTAGAGTAAAATGAGTAAGGCAGGATTGTACAACAACAGGATCAAAACCTGTTTCTAATTAAAATTTTGTTATTTTGTCACCATGGACTTTTTACATTAGTTTTTATTTTTTTAATATTGCACTAAAGTATTGTTTATTTTGATTGCTGGGTTTTTTGGTGACTCCTTAAATTTTATATCCAAGTCAGTGCCTCACTTGCTTCACCCTAACTTTGATCCTGTTCTGGAAACAGAGAACTTGCCTGGGGTGGGAAGTGTGTGCTACTCATTCTCTCCTTATACCACCCCCAACCCCACCTCCACCTCTCCACCTCTCTCACTCACCCCCATTCCTGACCCTTTGGCCCTTCCTTGATGCCTGAATGGGGGCCCTGAGGGGATGGGCAGTTTAACTATCAGTTGCTAACAAAGGAATTCTTTCTCAACACTCCCACCACCCCAATCTGGGCTGTGGGCGATCACTCTTTTTCCCATTTCAGATTTCGAGGGTTCTTGCTTCAGTCATTTATTCCACATTCACTGATGTCCACTTATGCCAAGCTTCTGCCCCCAGGACATACCTAGTTGGTGGGGAAGAGAGACATGGAAGCAGACAGGATGGTTTAATGTGGTAAGGACAGGGATGGAAGATGAGAGGAACGAGGGGAAGGGGTTTGCACTGAGATATACCTGAGCTGCGGCCTGGGAAGGAGAGGGCCCTTTTCAGACAGTGAGCAGTTCTGTGGGGCTCAGTGAGCTTCCATGCTGATGACCCCCGCCCTTGGTGGTGCTTCACCTGGTTCCACTTGGCCTGTGTTGGGATTTTTAATGCTTGAATTTGTGGCCGATGTTTAATGTTTAAAACCAAGACATTTCACATAGAAATCCAAAATCCTGGTCTCAACAGCAAAAAAGCAAATGGAGAATTGTGGTAATGTTGGTGTGTCCTACTCAGTTGTTGCACCCATCTGGCACCTTCCTTCCTGGGGTAACCTGTTGTGCTCCCCCTCTTTGAACTCCAGAGCTGTGTTGTCCATTGTGTGGGCCACTGGCTGTGTGTAGCTGTTGTGCCTTTGAAATTTGGCTTGTTTGAATTAAGACGGGCTACAAGGGAAGAATATGCACTGGATTTTGAAGACTAAGTACAAGAAAAGAATATAAATAGTTCATGGATAATTCTGAAAATACTGATGACTTCTCAGTGACCATACCTTAGATATATTAGGGTAAATAAAATAGATTAAAATTAATTTCACATTTCTTTCTACTTCTTAACAATGGGGCTACTCAAAATTTTGTTTACCTATGTGGGTCACAGCATGTTTCCTTTGGTTAATCCAAAGGACAAATGGAGGACAAACCGGAGGGGTAGGCAGGGTTCTGGCAGGAAGGAGGTGGGAGGGGCACTGTACGCTTAGTATACGAACTGTGGACTCCTTGTGATCAGAATTTTACTCATTTTTACTCCTTGCTTGCTGTAACCTCTTTGAACTTTTATTTCCTTCATTTGAGATGGGAATGGATAACAGCATCTATTCCACAGGGCTGTTTCCCTGAAGCACTTGGTATACAGTTGGCACTAGCTGGGACTTGCTTCTCAGGAAAACCACCAGGCGCTGACTATTTAGGGGTGAGGGGGTGATGTGTTTCCGAAAGCTCCCTCTAGAGCAGGGCAGAGAAACAGATCAGGCAGGGGCTATGCAGACACTCAGCAGGGGAGATTTGCGCGCGCGTGCGTGCGTGCGTGCGTGCGTGCGTGCGTGCGTGCGTGCGTGTGTGTGTGTGTGCGTGCGCACATGGGGACCTGGAAGCACCAGACTAGGTGCTGGGTGGGCTATGGTGAAGAGACCTGTGAGGGGCCTCACTGAGGGCTCTGCTGGATGATGGTGGAGGGTGGTTATGGCCTAAAGAGGGGAACATGGGAGGGCTCTCTGCCAGGTCAGGGGCCCAGTCAGTCCTGCTTACCTCTGATTCCTGAGGCCTCAACACTCACAGATCCAGGCAAGAAGGGGCCCAACAAGTACTAGCCAAATGGCTAGAAGGCTCAGAGACCTGTCTTTGGGACCGCAGCCTAGGCTTGCCACTGGTCCTGCTTCTACCTGCCGTGTGGGCTCAGGCACACTGCTCTTTCCTAGACTGGCTGGCTTTTGTCTCCTCCTCTGTACAATGGAAATAACAAATATTGTCCCCTAGGGGTGTCCTGAGGATTTACCTGGCACAGGGAGTTCTCAGTAATTATTGGTCCCCACTTTGGCTTCGCACTCCATCTCATGCCCCAGTGCCCACGCACGCACATGCGCGCGCGCGCACACACACACACACACACACACACACACACACCTGCCTTCTCTACCAAGACACTCACTTCCTTGAAAGAAGAGGCTCTCTTCCCTCTGAGGCTAAGCAGGAAGATGGAGGTTAGATTGCAGGAGGAACTTTCTTTCAGAGTCAAGAGTGTCCAAGCGGGTTTTAGAAAATTCACTTCTCAGATTCGCTTTCCTGCCTCTCATAGATATTGGTAGATAATTAGCAAGGACTTGGAGGTGAGCATCCCAGAGTCACGTGGCAAGGAGGGGGCCAGGCTGTGGTCTCATGGGACCATAACTTCCCTATCCCTGGGATGTGGGAGTTCAAAGCCTCCAGGCCCCTCAGTGATCTGTTGGGGGGTGGGGTAAGACACGGCTGGGCTCCGCTGCTGCATGGGAAGCCTGCCTCCAGCTCAGACTCCATTTCCTCACTGCCAACTCCCTCTCTGATTGCACAAGCCAGAGATCCAAGACTCTGCTGAAGCTGTTTGAGTTTTAACAGGGAACCAGCCTGACTCAGTGTAGGGGACATGGGTTCAAGAGCCAGACAACTCGAGGCTCAGTTTCTATCACCCACTAGCTGAGTGAACTTGGGTGAATCACATTAACGTCACTGTGCCTCAGTTTCCTTTGTAAAGCAGGGATAGTAGAACCTCCCTCAAAGGGGCTGAGAGTTTAGATGTGGCTGTGTGCGCAGCGTGCAGCACACATTTGGTGCCTCATCAATGCATGCACTCCATAGTTGGCTAGCGCCCTGTGTCCCCTGGCTCAGTGTTGTCTCTCTCTCCCTTGCTCTTGCTTCTGCTCCACAGTCCCCATCCCCTCCAAAGCCAGCAGCCTCTCGGCCCTCACATTGGCCAAAGACAGCCTGGTTGGTGGCATCACGAACCCCAGTGAGGTCTTCTGCTCCGTGCCAGGCCGGCTCTCACTGCTCAGCTCAACGTCCAAGTACAAGGTGACGGTGGGGGAGGTCCAGCGGCGACTCTCGCCTCCCGAGTGCCTCAATGCCTCCCTCCTGGGTGGCGTCCTCCGCAGGTAGGAAGGTCAGCCCACTACTCCATGCACAGTGTCTGGACCAAAATCCTGGTCATTTCAGACCTTCTCAGGGGGTCAGAGAAGGGGCAACCTCATCCCAGACCACAAGGTCATCTCTGCCTCTGTCTCTCTGGGAGTTTCTGCATGCCCTGGGGGCAGGCCCATGTCCCCAGCAGCTCCCATAGGTCTGTAGGCTTGGGGTGAAGGGTGGAGAAAGAAGGGGTGGAAGGTCACCCCTATTGGGCAGGATGGACAAGGCTGGGAAGAGTGAGTGCCATCCTCACCTCCTGCCCCAGGAAAAGTACTCCCAGGACCCAAGGCCCTTTCCATGTGGCAGCAGAGATCTCCTTGGTGTGTGTGTTTTGGGTGGGGAGCATGGCGGTCCTCAGTGGGGAGCATGGTTTGTCTTCACAGTTGTGTGTCTATCTCTCTCAGCATGTCCTTGGGCCTGGATAGGGAATTTCTGCATCGGGACTGAGTTTTGATGTGTCTGAAGATGGTGTGTACGTGTGTGTGAGTGCATGTGGGGATGGCCAGGTGTGTTTCCACAACTGAGTTTCCTGTGTTACTAATCTTAGTGGGCTGTGTTGGTTAGAGAGTGTCCTGCTGTGTGTGTGTGATTGTGAATGCACCTGAAACTAGATACAGGAAGATCTACATGTCTGTGCCTCTGTGCATGGGGAATCTCCTTATTCCTGGCCTCATTGAGCACCCCAGAGTGGCTGTGTGTGTTCCTGAGTGTCCGTACATATCTCCCTGGGATCCAGATTTGACGTGAACGTCTGTTTCTGACTCCATCCCTGTGTGTCCCCAAGTGGCCGAGCTTGCATGTCTGTCTCTCCTGGTACATGTGTATGTCTCTACTCTTGGCCCTCAGTGCGTTCATGTGTGAGTGTCCCCAGTGACTGTGTGTGTGTTGCCCCATGTGTCTGTGTGTCTCTGTGCATCTCTGCATAGGTCTGTGTGTCCTGGGTAGCAGCATATGTCCCTGCTGGTGTGCTAAGATAGGACCCTAAGATGCTGACCTATCCTTCCCCACCCAGCTTGTCCCTGTAGTTGAGGATTAGAGATAAACAGAGGGCAGCTGTGTGCTAGGTATCCGGCACTCATCTTGGCTGTAAAGCCAAGGTTAAAATTAAGAAGAGGTTGGGACCAAGCTGAGGGTAGTCCCAGATCATCTCCAGAGTCAGAACCAAGCGTCAGCAGGGGTTGGTGGCGGTAGCAAGTGGCGGGCCACTTAGCCTACATGCATCTTTATAGACTGTCTTTCTCTGTGCATGTCAAGAGCTAAGTCCAAGAATGGGGGCCGGTGCCTGCGGGAACGCCTGGAGAAGATTGGGCTCAACTTGCCAGCTGGTCGCCGCAAGGCTGCCAACGTGACACTGCTGACTTCTCTGGTGGAGGGTGAGTGGGGCTCACTGTGTGGCTGTGTGATTGTGTCTTAACGCAGTTGGGGTGTTAGTCACATGGACGTCACGTGTGTCATGGATAAATAAGGGCTGTATGTGATATGCAGGTATAGTCTTTATGCGTCTGTTCTTGCACATGTGTTTTCACACAGTAGAGAGTGCCTCTAAGTGTGCATGTGTTGGGGTTGGGGAATGGCCAGCATGGAAAAGCATGTGGAAAAGCATGAAGAGGTGAGCCCCTTTCCTGGAGGTTGGCAACTGTGTTCTGTCACCTCGAGCTCAGGTTGTGTGATGCATGGGGGGCTCAGCTCACCACTCTGAGCTTGACCCCACCCCTGGCCACAGGAAGGGCAATGGGAGTGAGCCTGGAGCTAGGCTAAGGAGGGAAACCAGAGGAAGGTATCTACAGAAGCAGGGTGGGGCAGGATGCCCCTGGCCAGGGGCATCGAGGCTTTAAGGTTCAAGGTTGGACTCCCGATTCCAAGGTATGCCTGTCTGTAGCGGCAGCTCATCCGCCTGCTCTCTCCCCGCCAGGAGAGGCCGTGCACCTGGCTCGAGACTTTGGCTACGTCTGTGAGACTGAGTTCCCAGCCAAGGCAGCTGCCGAGTACCTGTGCCGACAGCATGCTGACCCTGGGGAGCTGCACAGCCGCAAAAGCATGCTGCTGGCTGCCAAGTGAGTGAGGGTGCCGCATGTGGTGCCGTGGGGCACTCTGCTTAGGCTGTCACTGGTGTACACACAGGCATATGCGGGGAAAACATAAAGATACCAAGTACGGGCACAATGGATTACACTCATGCATACCTGTGCCACCACACCCGCACACACTAGCTCCTTGCTGTGCACAGCGCAGGGCACGCATGGACGCCTGTGAACCTATCAGGGCTCTATACATCAGCAAAAAGCGATGTCGCAGGCAGGCTAACGCAGGGCCCTAGGTAGAGACCACACCCCATACACTGTTGCGGTCCCATTGTGGTTCTGAGGTTCTGTGGTCTTGCCATCAGCCCCTTTGCTCCAGTGACTTCCATCGGGCTACCAGTGCCCACACAGGTCCCCAGGTTGACCTCCCCTTGTGCTTCACACCTGACCCCTCTGAAGGTCTCACTGGCACCTCCCGTACCACCTTTCACATGCTACCACTTCAACTCGGGTTTCCTGGCCCCACTCCTGGGCTTTTATCCCAGCACCCTACTCCTCCCTCACCCTCCCAACCCCAAGAACCTTCTAAGGTGCCCATACCTATTTTACTGATTTTCAAACTAGGTTCTTTGGGGAGGCTTCAGGGCCTATTTAATTAATTGGTATTCCATTAGAATTTAGTTTTCAGAGAGGGTCCCACAGCTAGAAGGTACAGAGACAGAGAGAAGGGAAAAAAACACCAACTGGTGGGGTGCAATCCAGATTCCCGTGAAGGTCCCACAATCTGGCCTCCACAATCACCCACTCCAGCTGACCTACTTGCTCTCTTTAGCCCTCGCATACTTAGGCTTACCCTTCTCCTGTGTGGAGCATCATCCAGTCTCCACTTTCAAATCACAGCAGCCCTTTCAAATCACAAAAACACCTACCCTCCTCTGAGGCTCTTCTCAAGGCCCCTCGGCAGCAGTAGAATCCAGGCTCAGGGGACTATGAGGCTGCTCAAGTGGTAGCTGGATAAACAGCTCCAGGGCAGGCTCAGCTAACTCATCCAAGTGCTTCTTGGTCCCAGTGATGTCCAAGATGCTGACTGGGTTCCGAGGTGACACAAAGGTGCGACATGAATGAATGGTTGCAGCCTACAGCTGAATTCAAATCCGTTTAGTCACTTGGGCAGGTGGCCTAACCTGTCTGAAACCAGTGTCCTCATCCATATGATGATGGTACTAGGACAGTTGTGAGGATTGAGTGAGATGACACAGTGTGCTTAGCATAGCATCTAGGCCTCAGTTTAGCTATTATTTCAGTTATGTGAGGCAGAGTCTGGATTGTCCCCTAATTTCAAAGCCAAAGCTCTGTGAAGCATTGGGTGTAGGTTGGGGGTGGGAGAGAGGATCAAGAAAAGTTGCCTGGATAATGTAGGAGTGGAGCTGGACTTGGAATGTGGACAGCACATCCACAGAAGAGGTTGTAGTATGCTATTTACTAACTGTGTGATACTGAGCCAGTCAATTAACATTTCTGAACCTTACTTTCCTTTTCTGTAAAATGGGTAAGCTCATCTGCAGACTATCAGGAGGGCAAGCAACCATATACATAATGCATATAAAGTGCCCAGCGTATGTCGGGGCCTTCTCTGACTTAGGCCTTTGTCTTCTAACCGCCAGCTCTCCCTCTCCCACCAGGCAGATCTGCAAGGAATTTGTGGACTTGATGGCTCAGGACCGTTCACCGCTGGGCAATAGCCGCCCTGCACTTATCCTGGAGCCCGGGGTGCAGAGTTGCCTGACACACTTTAGCCTCATCACCCATGGCTTCGGTGGGCCTGCCATCTGTGCTGCCCTCACTGCCTTCCAGAACTACTTACTGGAGTCACTCAAGGGGCTAGACAAGATGTTTCTAAGCAATGCAGGCAGTGGGCATGGTGACACCAAAGCTTCGGAGAAGGATGCCAAGCATCGGAAATAATGCTTCCCCACTGCATGCCTTAAAAGGCTCCCAAGGCCTGAAATAAGGTCTCAGCTCCTGGGGTAGACATGAAAAGATTAAAAGGTGGGGTTGGAGTCAGGCCAGAAAGAGGTGTTCATCTAAAAAACCCACGCTAGGCATCTGGGCTGGATAAGAGGGAGGGGCAGCCTCTCTGTAGTGATTTGTTGATAAGGCTGCAGGACTTGCCTCAAGTGTGCAATTTCCTGACCCTTGAACAGGAAAGGGCTTGGGCAGGAAATGGCCATGGAAGAGCCTGATTCTTGGGGTAGAGCCCTGCATATTAAGGTGTCTGGGCAGCAGTGGGTGCTCCTAGGGATCAAGGCCCTGCTGTTTCTACTGATGGCTGAAGGGCTACTGAAAACAAATCAGAGGTGCTACTGAGGAGTTGGCTCCCTTCATCCCAGAATCTCCTACCCCTGGAAAAGGGGTGCTGGCAGGAGGCCCCAGTGGGCTCTCTGGACCCCTCCCACTCATGGAAAGTGGTCAGGAGGGGCCCTCAAGAAACAAAGACGATAAAGCACAAATTGCAGAACTTGAATTCAGGCTGCACTTCACTGTCCTGTTGCTGTCTGTTCTATTTATTTATATATATTGTAATTAAATTTAAAGTTTAAAAATGTCCAGTACAACTTATTTATCCCAATGAGAACGCGTTTCCCTGTTTTCTGCTCAGGCACTGATGTGTCCAACTGGATGAGGATGAAGGACACTTGCTCACAAAAGGCTGGGGGTGGGCTAGGAGGGGAAGACGTCAGGGACCGAGGTTGTTGCTGGGATTTTGTATTTGCTGTTGTTTCTCTTGACCCTGCAGTTAATGTACCTCCCCAAACCTCAGATTGCTTTCTCATTGTCTTAATAAAATCTTTTCATTGGCTATGAAACCCTACCTGTACTTCTTCATCCAAGTCCTGGATCTGCCTCCAAAGAGGGAGACAGTTCACTGGGGAGAAGTGGTAACTAGGAATCAGGAGGGGTTGGAGTGGAAAAAGGTTTCTAAGGGGGAACCCTACGTGGGAGCTGTGGGTACCGTGTGGAGGGGTGCAAATGGTAGATCTCTCTGGCTTATGCGGTTTTAGTTGTGTATCAAGTGGATCCTGAAGGTCTGTATGTGCATTATTGTGGGCCTGTGTGTGAATGTGTCCATTGGCTGTTACCTTCAAGTCCAAGGTAACACTAGGCAGCGTTACCTTGACCACTGGTGGTGGATCTGTCCATGTGTCCCTGTAAATGCGGGTTGCTGGGTGTTTGGCCAATGCTAATCCAGTTCTCTTGTTCTCTTTAGGATTTCTCTCTTCAGGTATTTTCTTAAAGATTTATTTCTATTTATTTATGCATACAAGAGGTAAGGTGTACGCCAGAGGTGCAGAGGTTGAGAAGATTTGCCAGAGACAGAGTGGGCAGCAAAACAGGCGGACCTACGAAAATACACTGCTGAGATGAGACAGGAGAGATCTGCTGTGCCATGTGGGTCAGCTCCCTGGCCAGGGATAGAACTCATGCTGCAGTGGCTTGCGGACAGCTTCATAGTGCTGAGACTTTCAAGCCAGAAATTGGGGGTCATATCTGAGTCCTCAGACCAAGGCATCAGAAAGTTCATGCCTATGTCCTCTACCACCACCCAAAACCTCAAGAATACATCTTCCAGAGCTGGTCTCCCTCTCTCACTTTATACCTTTGTATTGTACTAAGGCCTGGCAATGCTTTGAACTTTGTCTACTTCAACTGTACCTTAAACTATTCTTTTAATTGCTTGCTGATTTCCTTCCTGCTTCTTCAATTGCCATTTTGTTTTATGCCTCAGGGCTATTGCAATCACAGTTCTCTTTGCCTGGAATGTTCCTTCCCTGGTTCTTGCAGGTATACAAAGATATGATTTCTCTTATTTCTTCAACCCTCCATATGAAAGGAGAAATGAAGGAAAGGCTGGAAGTATGCTCTACCTTAACCAAAGCCCTAGGCCTGACAAGAGATATTCTACTACTAAAACTGTCAAATAAGGTAACAGACATTTAGCACATAGTAATAATTCATAGTAATAATTTAGCACATAGTAATAATTCAATAAAAGGTTATAAGTTTTTTTTTTGAAATGAGTTTGTCATTAACTTTTCAGTGTTGGACAATTTTTTTATAGTGAGCAATGTAGTCTCATTAAGGCTTATTTAATTTAATTTTTTTTTAAAGATTTATTTATGCATACAATAACTGGGGTACAGGCCAGAGATGTGGAGGGTGAGAGGATTCACCAGAGACAGAGTGGGGAACAGAATAGGCAGATTGACTGAAACACACTGCTGAGGGGAGCAGCGGGCAAGTCAGGAGAGGTCTGCTGCGCCATGTGGGTCACCTCCTTGGTGGGGGATCAAAGTTGTGCTGCAGTGGCTGTGGACAGCTTCATAGGTTGTTTCTTAACCCCTTTAACCACCAAGGGTGTCTATTTTAGAGATAAGAATTAACTATAGCTCAGAGCAACCTGCCCAAGGGCACAGCAAGTAAGTGGGACTCAGGCAGATCTCTAACCCACCTCTCTTCTACTGCATTATAAGGCCCTCTGCAGTTTCACAGACCTGAGCCCAGCAAGTAGTCCTCCCAGCCTTAAGGCCCCCAGGCTCTGCTCCTCTAGCACACGTGAGGCCACAATAGCAGAGGCAGCACTACAGGAATAAGACCATAAGTGGCCGAGGTGCTTCTAAAGAGGTCTCACATTTGATTCCTTCCAGTAAGTTTTTTCCATAGCACAGTAAATTGTGTTTTCATCTTTGACTAGCTAACTTTGGGTTCAGCCCTAGGAAAAGTAGGTAATTAAAAGTATACATGGAGGGTCTACCTGGTGGCGCAAGGGGTTAAGACATAACCTATTAAGCTATCGGCAGCCACGGAAGCACGAGTTCGATCCCCAGCCAGGGAGGTGATGCACATGGCGCAGCAGACCTCTCCTGACTCGCCCGCTGCACCCCTCAGCAGTGTACTTCAGTCAGTTTGCCTGTTCTGTTCCCCACTCTGTCTCTGGTGAATCCTCTCACCGCCCCCCCAACCTCTGGCCAGTACCCCAGTTCTTGTATGCATAAATAATCTTTAAAAAAAAATAAAAGTATACCTGGAGGGTTTATATAGCTTTTTTTACAAAGCAAGTACCTGTAAATTAAATTTAGTATTTAGACTAAATGTACAGTATTTAAACTGGCTAATAATCATGATTTTTAGGGTTTATATTCATTTAAAGGCAACTTTCCTGTTTTGTTTTAAAGAATCATATTAGTCCAGGAGGAATAAGGGCAGTCTTTGACAATCTTCCCTCCCTCAAACCACATGAAATAAGGTGAGTCAGGCTGAGTTGCAGGCCTTTCTCTTCTTAAACACATAACTATACACAGGAGCTAAGTGACTTGCACACATGCAGAAAGAATCCCCAGAAAGTACCTCCTTCTGCTTGGACACTGATGCTGCTTCAAAGGGCTACCGCAAGGATACAGACAGTGAAAGAACTCTGGGCTTCTGGCATTAACCAGGATTCAGGCAGAGAAGGCTCAGCCACTTAGCTCAGCTGGTGACACTGAGCTTCTGAAGCTATTTCAGTGCCCTCTTCCATCTCTTAAGAGATTACTTGTCAGTTTTCCCAAACTCTTCACTTCAGGGCCCAGCTTCCTTACCCTGAGGCAAAACAGCTGCTCTCTTCTCCAACCAATCTCCCTCTTACCCCAAAACTGGGAAAGAATAAATTTGTGTGTGTGTATTAACCACCTGAAAGCAGATGGGAACCAAGAGGAGGACCATTCTGAACAGCATCTGGGAATGTGAAAGAATCAGTGAATTTTCAGCATTTTTCAAACTTCAGGATATCAATTTAGGACAAAGCTGGCATTAAAAATAAAATCTAAGAAAACAGACCAGAAAATATCAGAGTGCCCTGGATTATGACTCAATCACTATACCCATATCTGAGTTCTATGCAGCAATGCTACTTTTTTTTACAGTGGAGAGGGATGTGTGTGGTCATAAAAGTATGCTGAGGCCACATACATTTAGTTGAATAGTAGGCTGTAGAAGGCACAGAAGAGGGAAAGGACACAGGGAGTGAAGAAGGGAAAGAAGTAAATGGCTAAAATGTAAAATGAAAAAACTGGGCTTATTCTATAAGTAATGGATAACCATCATAAAAATTTAAGTAAGGAGAGGAATGGACAAATTTGGCTTTTAGAGTACCAAAAATGGGAGAGGGAAAGACTAAACAGAGAGAGAAGTTAGGAGGCTGTTAAAATAGCCTAAATGATAAGGGGATAAATCAGAATAACAAGGAAATTTTCTTTACGAGATTTAGGAAGTAAAAACTCTAGACCTTGTGCCTCTCTGAAGGTAGGAGGGGAGAAAAGGCTTCAGAAAAGATGCCCCCAGCTAAATGCAATCTGGTTGTCCTGGGTTGTAGCCTAGAATGGAAAAGGCACATTACTGGAGAAACTGGCTAAATGTGAATAAAGGTTGGAGTTTTAGTTAATATTATCTCTGCAACTTTTCTGTAAAACCAAATTTATTCCAAAACAAGTTTATTAAAAATAAATGATGCCTAATTTTCTGGCTTGGGCATTTGAGAGCCAGATGGCTCTAATTCTCTAAGATGGAATGCTGCAGAGGTTTGAAAGAGGGCAGGTGGTATAGGTCAGCTGTAGACATGCTAAATTTGATACCAGAGGCTGGAGGGTAAGATGCCTAGGTATAAATTGATGTGGTGCTCAGGAAAGAGATCACGATTGGAGAAGAGTAAGCTGATGGGCTTGCCTGAGACTTCCCTGGGGATACTTAACATACAAAGGCAGAGACAATTCATTCATGATGAGGCATGAATGCAAAGTAGTAAGTTTACCAATGACTACACACTTACTGCATACTTACTATATGCCAGGCCCTGTTCTAAATGCTTTGTTACCTAATGGAATCCCTATATTACAAACCCCATAAAATAGTAAAATTTTGATCATTTTACAGTTGGGACAACCATTAAGCAAGCAACAGAATCACTTTTAGAGCTTTAAAAACAGATGCCTTAGAGACTGAGAAGTCTAAATAATACTAATGGTTGAATCAGTTGTGTTATGTGAATCACTGTCCCCTCCTCCTATTTATTCAATGATAAACTACCTTCTTTTGGTACAAAGCATTTACATTTGGTATATTAAGTATGTGACATTCTTATTAATATTAATATTCTGATCTGTAGGTAGTAATTTAGACAGTATTTCACCATAAGCCAAAAACTTATGTGTTATGAAGAACAGCACAAAACTGAACAAAGCAGGACTTACTTTAAGACCAAACAATGCTTGAAATATGGATTCAAGAGCAACAGTGGCACCAATTAGTAATGTTAAAAATGCAAAATCTCAGGCCACACCCCCCCAAACATGAACAAACTATATAAGTAGGACTCACTCATCTATTTCAATGAGTCCATCAAAGGAATGGTCTGAGGACTAAAGTTTGCAGATTACTGCTCCAAAGAAACGTCAATCCAGTAGTCTTTCCTAGTAATGCAGAATTACTGGAAAGCTATAAAAAAATTCCTATGTCTAGAGTTACAAACCTACTTAAGTGAAATATGGGAGCGCAACTTAATCTACACTAAAAAAGAACTACTGTGGCACTAACAATAATAGTAATAATATCCACTCCCAAAAAGCTAGATTAGGAGGTAAAACATATCTGGTTAACTGCCTATAGTGTAATTATTTTATGGAATATTATGCAACTCTCAACATAAGGTAGCTATATATGTACTGATATGAATAATCTCTAGCAGAGTGTTACTAGAAATAAGCAATAAGCAGAACACTTAAAAATATTTGGGGGGGGCCTCCCCTGGTGGCGCAGAGGTTGAGCGCTGGGCTGCGAAGCTGCCCACAGCCTCTGCAGCACCGGTTCGATCCCCGGCTGCCGGTGGGGGTCCCACATAGAGCTACAGACCTCTCCTGCTGTGCCCGCTGCTCCCCTCAGCAGTGTATTTCACCAGTCTGTCTGTTCTGTTCCCGCTCTGGCTCTGGTGAATTCTCTCACCCTCCTGTGCTTCTGACTGTACCCAGTGCTTGTATAAATAAATAAATCTTAAAAAAATAAACCTTAAATTATTAAAAAAAAAAAATTGGGGGGGGCTGTCTCTGGTGAGTCCTCTCACCCCCACATCTCTGGCTTGTACCCCAGCTCTTGTATGCATAAATAAATCTTTAAAAAAAAATATTTGGGCTGGGGCCTTACTGGTGGCATAGCAGTTAAGTCTCACTGCTATCACCACAATGACAGCCTGAGTTCAATCTAGGGAGTTAACCCACATGGTGCAGCAGACCTCTCCTGTCTCACCCATTGCTCCCCTTAGCAGTATATAAATAAATAAATCTGCTTGTTTTGCTCCCCACTCTGTCTTGGTGAATCCTCTCACCCCCCGCACCTCTGGTCTACACCCCAGTTATTCTATGCATAAATAAATCTTTAAAAAAACTTTTGATTAAATAAGGGACCAGGAAAATGAATAACTATAAGAAAGTGAAAATCAAAATCAACAAAAACTATGAACCAGAGACACTTTTTGGGGGGTGGGGGGCGGGAGGGGAGGGATTGGGGTCAGAATGGGGGGATTGCAATTGTATGGGGAATATAAAAATAAAATTTATTAATTAAAAAAAAAAAAAGCTTTTGAAAAGGGGATGTGTGTGTATTTAGGTGGATGTGCATGCTTTACATAGGAATAGCATATCGCTTAAAGGATAGAGAAGAAATTAGTAGCTGAAGTGTCCTCTGGGAAAGGAAACAGGTGGTCAAATTATAGAGACAGAAGAAACATTTTTTACTATTCATCTGTACTGTTTACATTTTTTCCTAAGTACCTGTCACCTATTCTAATTAATTAAAAATATTTAAGTGTAGAGGCAGTAAGAATCACTGTTTTAGTGTGAATGAAACATTAGTAAGCAAGCCATATGAAGAGCTAAATTGAAAGGATACTGGGCCCTGAAATAGAATGAGAGGCTGCCAGCTGCTAAAGGGCAACTAGGGCATTCATGAAGGGAAGGAGACAGGAGGGAAGGTAGTCCCGGCAAAAAGTCCATTGCAAATAATTCCTTCCTGCATTTCCCCTCTGAGGGGATGTTAGCTAAACTGAGACTCAAACCAGAGAGCTCAATTTAACCATATTCAGATTTATTCTTAATTAACCATCTATGAAGAGTGCACGTCAAAAGAGTAGAAAAAAATAAAGAAGCCCATCAAAAATAGTTCCCTGGCAAGTGGGAGGGAGGGTATGATGTTAGGAGCCTTGTTTAGGGAAGGAAATGTTGTCCAGATCATGGATGCCATTTTTGTCAATGATTCGAACACTGAAGTTTGGCAGATTCAGGATGAAGCGTTTCTGGAGCTGTAGAGAGACAAGAAAAAAATCAGTCAACAAATGCTTACTGAGCACTATGGGCCAGGCACCATTCTAGGAAATTGGGTGTATGAGCAAGTAAAAATCCTTGCTTGTACAAAGACTATATTCTACTGGGGGAAGAGGGAACTATAACACAAAGGAAGCCAAACTACAACTGGAGACTAACTGGAAGGTAATGAGTATGAACTAGGAGATGCAGCTGGGACTTGTCTCTGTACAGTTAGCTGATGAGACAATTTAGTGCTTTATTTTTATTCCCCATAGTCTGTCACCAATCCATCCAGAAAACAGATTTCTCTTTTCATGTATCTCAAGGTAATAAGCCAATAAAGGAGTGATTAACTATTAAGAATAAGTTTTGGATCAAAGCAATGTACCCTTAAAAGTTTGCTCCCATCAACCACTCACATTATAAGGAGTGGACATGTGTGTATTGGTGGAGGGGTGGTGAGAAGGATGTCAGCAGAACTGCTCTTGGAGCCACCCTGCCCCCGTTTCCAATCCAAGCTGCCCTGTCATTAAAGAAACATCTCTGTACTCTCCTAAGACTCTCAGCTTGAGGGCCTCCCCAGTGGCGCAGCAGTTGAGCGCTGGGCTGCAAAGCTACCCACAGCCTCTGCAGCGCCAGTTCGATCCCCGGCCACTGGTGAGGGTCTCACATGGCATGCAGACCTTTCCTGACGCACCCGCTGCTCCCCTCAGCAGTGTCCTCCTTCTGCCTGTTCTGCTCCCCACTCTGGCTCTGGTGAATTCTCTCACCCTCCCGTGTTTCTGACTGTACCCAGTGCTTGTATAAATAAATAAATAAATCTTTAAAAAAAAAAAAAAACAAACAAAAAAAACACTCTCAAGCTTGAGAAGACGTTCCAGAGGTGCCAAAGTCTACATGCACGGAAGCAGAGAAAAGACACAAAGCTCTCCACCTGCTCCCTTAGAATCATATCCCAGAAGTGTCCACCTCCCCAAGTCTTAGTCTTCCTTCTATTGATATTTCCCATTTCCTTTACAGCTAAGGACTGTGCAGCAATACCACATTCTATTTCTAGAGTCCTCTCTGGCTGACGACTCTTATGCCCAGAAACAAGCTTCAGGATCAATAAAACGTGACAATAAAGAAATACAGGTTTCTCAAATGATCATCTTTAGGATTGATAGAGAATAAAGTCTCAAAGTATTTGATATTCCAGTGTCTTCTTCATGGTAGTTCCTTACAAATACCAGACTAAAATAAAATAGTCTTTCAGTTGAGTGATCAAGAAAAACAGGGAATTTAGGGCCTCCCTGGTGGTACAGGGGTTAAAGTCTCAGCGCTATCAAGCTATCGCCAGCCACTGCAGCATGAGCTCCATCCCCAGCCAGGGAGCTGACCCACATGGTGCAGCAGACCTCTCCTGCCTCCCCCGCTGCTTCCCTCAGCAGTGTATTTCAGTAGATCTGCCTGTTCTGCACCCCACTCTGTCTCTGATGAATTCCCTCACCCCCTGCACCTCTGGCCTACACCCCAGTTCTTGTATGCATAAATAAATATATATATATATTAAATGTGAGTTTATTCCCCAGTCTGTGTTTTGGAAAGGGGATTTATAAGCAAGGAGAAGAAAGGGGCACTATGGATTGAAAATGACAGGCTTGTGTAAGAGGCAAACTGCTAATACTTCTGATGCTCCCACTAATCTCATCTTCCCACTCTCTCACTAGATCACAAATTCATCCTATGGCCACAAGAACAGCAAAGGAATGAAAAGCCTAAGTGAGTTACTTTCATTTCCTCTTCGTCCTTCATTCGTAACCCAAAGCCTTACTTGGTCCATGTTCCTGAACTTATAAATTAAAAGCTATTCTCCCCTTCTGCCCAAAGCTTTCTAGTGGCTTTTGAAGACCTCCTGAATTCTCAGAGGAGGCTTTCTCTCCAGGGCTCATGCACTCTTAAAGGAGAAGACAATATGGTAACTCCAGGTGGCCCCAAAACAGAGCAAGTATAAAGTCTAACTCTTAAAGGATAGCCCAAGTTTATCACTTACAGCCGATCACCTGGGACAGTTGATTAAAATGTTCCCAGGCACAATCCCAGTTCAAATGAATCAGATGAGGGATTGGGGAGGGGTGAGGATGCTGGGGGACATGAATCTACTTTTTTTGTGAACAAGTTCCCCAGATGATTCTTATGCACACTAAAATTTGAGAACCACTAGTCTGGACAAATGAAAAAGAAAAGTAATTAAACTGTAAAATTGACATTGATGAGGAGGTGACCCATGAGAGGAAAAAAATAAGCCTGTTACCCACCAAAGTCTATCCCTAGTAGCAACTTCACATCTGGTTAGAGGGTATTTATTACACCTTCTGGCAAGGATCAGAAAAAATGCAACCAAGGAAATGGAACAATATTGGCAAACAGAGAGACAAAACATTCCTTTCAAGATCCCATGGGAGGTACTCACCTCCTCTAGACATTTCCTTAGAAGTTCCACTGCTCTCTCACGTGTGATAGCTGGAAGAGAACAGAGGCCAAGGACTCAAGGTGTTATCAGTAAGTCCCATCCCCACTGAAACTTTTAAGTTTCAAACCTTTTCCGATCATCGTGCCATGAATGGAAAAAGCAAAAAAACAAAAACAAAACAAAACAAAAAAACCCAAAACCACAAAATACAACAACAAACTCCTAGCCTTTTAGCTTGAAACTTATTCCATATGCAGTTGAGGGTGCCCCAGACCCAATGCTCCAGCAGCCATAAGCCATTGCAAATTGATTTGCTACAGAGAAGGGTAAGCATAACGGAATTCTGCCTCCCATGGCCAGGGCCTGCCTCTTTTTTTATAGCCCACCCTCCCACCCCCCTTTAAGACTAGGGCTTAAATCAGTTCCATCTGCCCTAGCCAGCTGCAAATCAGGGAAAAGGAGGACAGGGCCAGAGTTTTAGCTTCACTTTCCCAGCTGGATCTCGATTTAACAATGGAAAAAGAATTCACTGACTGGGACTGAGCTCCATAAAATAGGAGCCAAAAGAACTGTCCATGGGCATGGCAAACTGGGATGACATATAATGCAGTTAGGTTTCAGGGATGGTTGGTGTTTATTTTGGTGGGCAAATCAGCTGTATTACTGACAGATGCCAAATCCAGAAACAGTCACTAGGAGGCCAGGCTAATTCTTTTCAGGATGTGGCCTGGAGCTCTGGCATTGCTGAGGTTGAGGAAGAGGGCAGCACCAAAAAAGGAATGAATAAGTCAGTTTCTCACCATACTGGCAGGGAAAAATGGAATGTAAGGAGAAGAGTTATCTGTGCTGCATCTATAGCCTGTTAAAGTTAAAAATTCCAAGTGCCTATTGCTCCAGTGGCTAAAGTTAAGGTTGACCTTATGTCTGAAGCTTTGCCAAGCTCAGTTTATGGACAAGTAGAAAGCCAGCTTTTGTTTTGCAGAAGGAGCAGCCATTAGGGGATAAGAACCAAAGGAAGAACCCAGACTTGCGACCTTTAAAAGCTTTGATGTTTAAAAGAAATTCCCAGTTGTTATGTTGGGGACACGTTCATCCTTACCAGCTCAAAACAAACACACAAACCACTTAGTTTACTTGCTCATTCTCTACAGATGATATGCCAATAAACATCTAGGCAGAGCAAAATGAGTAAAAACCTGAACTTTTATAACTGAAGAACTATAGTTTACTCACCACTCTAAACATTCCCCACCTTAAAACAAAACGAAGCCCAGCTCTAAAAGAGGGAATTATATCAACTTTTCAATACCCCTATCAATCCACATTCCAGAGGGTAACTGAATGTGCTTCTTAGGATCCACCCAAGGGGTAGTGCAAACTGGAAGCAGCTGAAGATGGGGATCTGCTACTGCTCCCTACTGAAAGCATTGGAACATACTTGGTGTGTAGTATCGGTCCAGGATACTGAGAGTCAGGAAAGCACCATAGCCATGAGCCGCAAAAGGTGCCTTGGCCAAGGCTGCTAGGTAGTCCATATAGTAGAGTGCTGGGCCCTCATGCTCATCGTAGCCAGCCAGGAGGAGGTTGACATGATACGGGGTCTGAAAGGAAAGACACGGCAAAGAGATGGTCAAAGCAGTAACAGCAACATCTCTTCGCATGGCAAATGAGACCATTATAACTTTTGGTTAGTAAAATAGCAGCAGCTGAGTAAACCACAATGAAAGTAAAAAATTTAGAGACATCTAAAGGGCCTAGAGTGTGGTAAGAGGTAAAGGGAGGTAAGCTTGTTTTCTATGAACAGAACATTTGGAGCACTTTTAGGTATATGAAAAATCTGCTTTCTTCTTAAAGCCCATGGACCAGAACCTGACAAAGCATTTGAAAGGCAAATCATGCGTGCTCTTGTATCTTTCCTAATTGCTGAAACCAACAAATAACAATTGTGAGCATGTCAGCCCACAAACTAATAAAAGCAGCCACATTAATCCAAACTACATCACCCAAAATGAATAGGCTCAGTCTGGGCACCTGGACCAAAATCTCAAATGGTAAACTATATGCACCACTATGAAAGAAACAACTTGGCGTGGGGAATATCACATATTTAAGTCAAATCACTGAACTTTTAATGCAGACAGTAATAATGAAGTCTATAAATATGCAAAGAAAGAGAGCTAGGTAACATTAGAAGTATAGATTTAGATGAAATGCTAACATTTTTCTAATATAATAAGGCTCCCCAAGATAACTAGAAGTAATTTTTATCAACGAGATAATAAAAACATAATTATAAATTGGATTTATAGGTGTCCTTTCTTATTGTTATCTGTAAGTATAAAAATGCAGGTTTCTACAGAGAACCTTGACTAAGTCTACCTTGCTCTTCATCTCTAAATGGATTTTTTCCCCCTATAGCTGCTAAGCCATTTACTGTGATAAATTCAGACTTTTCATGCCCCCAGGCATTAGTGGTGAGACTCCCTTTTTCATGGCTTCCTTTTTCTCTGCAAAATGTGTTTTTCCTCTTGCATCACCTCAGTGGGTCATGAGCAGACCCTATCCATGGTTATGGACTAAACTTATGTATTTGATGAAATACACATTAAATGAAATCAAATACATTTATGCACTTTATTATGAAACATACATAAAGTAGTAACAGCTAAGGGTCCTAAGAGTGACATCTTACATTTTTTTGAGCACTGATTAACAAGGGCATTTGGCAGCCTAAAGAAAACAATGTTAGAAGAACAAATGAAAATATTATATACTTAGAATTCCAAGCCAGCTGGGCTTAAGTAGGAAAGGTTCCTAACACCCCCTGAAGATTACAGAATAGCCCTAACCTGAAAACAAGTTTCTGCCTTGAGGATAAGATGTTGGATAGTCTCAGAGTAGTATGAATTGACCAGCAGTAGTCAAGACTTCTGAGAAAATAATTACCTGCCTATCACATTTCCCAGTGGGTAGTGTGCTACACTTTGCCAGGCTCTGGAATTCTCTACTGCATTCTGTCACCATGTTCTTAGTAAGTCTGACCTTAGGCAAGACACTTAACCCCTATGAGCTTCTGTTTCCTTATGTGTAAAACTGGGTTAATTAATCCTTCCCCTTTCTATCTTCTAGGGAGTATGGTGAGAAAAAATAATAGAGATGAGGCATCTCAAACTCCCATTTTTTTCTTCCTTTAAATTCCCAATATATTAGCTAAATTGCAGTCTCCTTTGGTAGCTCACCACTTTAAACAACCAAAAAACCCTTTAAATTAGCCAAAAAGTATCTAATAGCATTTTTTTAAAGTGTGAAAACAGTACTGCAAAATCAGACACACACAGAATAGAATATTTTGTGTTCTTATAAAATTAGAACAGGAACAGAAAAGGAAGAGAAATATAGCAAGGAGATTCTAATCATTTCCCTCACCAATAAATACAATCTCTTACCCGTCATAAAATAATTTCATCTTTCTGGTAAGAGGAAAATTCTCTTCCTCATTCACTGGTCAGAACACCCATTGCATGGTTAGCTAAAACAACTCTGCCAACTTTCAATTGTATACTAAGGATCCACTCAGACACCCAAAGAGACTCTAACCAGCAGAATTCAGATATGCTGTCTCCAATGAGGATCTTGCCCACGGTTTAAAACTGTGTTTTAAACAATGTGATATTAAAAGTCATTATCAAAAGATTTTTTCATGAAACTATGGTAACAACACAAAAGTAAATTGTATTGCTTAATTGGTCTATATAATATCATGTATTTATGCTTAAGCATCTGACACACATGCTCATCAAAGTTGGTATTCAGAAGCTACAACACGTGGTATAGAAGATAACTCACAAATTATTGTGTGACTTTGAATTACCAACTTTTGCATGTGTGAGATGCTTAAGCATAAATAAATGGTGTTATCTAGACTAATTAAATCAATACATCTGTGTAACAACTTGCAGTTTCTGAAATTCTTCTGACAATGCTCCATGAAAGAGCTCTGGCTCACACCAGTTTTTTAAAATTTCAAATAAAGTCTTGTGTATTGTCACTCTCTTGTTCCGCTAAGAATCATGGCATTCAAAGTGACAAAGCCTTGGTTATGGGTTTCTTGATTATTACATTCCTATCATATTCTTGATTCATTTAGTTTTTCTGGAATGAGACAAATTCCAAGCCATTCAATTTTATGCTATTCTTACAGCGTACATGTGTGACTGGTGGTGGTATGTCTAGAGAAATACTTAGTATATGTAAGCCCACTATTCAAACATTATACCAATTATAAGGTCCATAAAGGCAAGATTATGCCTGGCTTCTTCAGTGATATACAAGCACACAGTATATGCTCAGTAAATATTTGCTGAACGAATAATAATCATACCAGAAAGGATTATACATCTTTTTACATATGTGACTAATGTCTGATATTATAAGAAATATCACCAAATAAATATCAGAAAGTCTTAGGTTCTACTTAACTGGGTTAAGTTCAAAAATATTGCCAGCATCTCTCTGAATGTTCATATATCATTACTATTTGCTAGGTTCCTGAGTCCCTCTCTTTCTACCTCTTGAGACATGAGTTGCTAAGTAAGGAAAAATTTAGGATACAAGTCAGGCATTTAGAATTGAATGAAAGGAGAACAATAGCATTCAGGAAAAAATAGCTAGCTGGGTTATACTGCAGTTAGACCTGAGTTTTGAAATCAGGCTCTATCACAACATATGTAGATTTAGGAAAGCTAGTCACTTAATCTGATTTGTAGTATTCTCATTAAAAAAATGAGAATAAGACCTAGTACAAAAGGGCTGCAGTGAAGATTCAGAGACAATACACATAAATGATAAAAGCACAGTGTGTAAAATATATGAAAGGTTCAATAAATGCTAAAATTAACTGGGAAACAACCACCTACAAAGGTCAGTTTCCTCCTCTCTCCTTCCCAGGCCTTTTCAGGGGCCCTATGGTGTTCACTGTCACAAACACTCACAAGCACTGACAGAACATACCTGCTTCACATTCAATCCACTCTAACTTACCTTGAGATTAACAAAGGCCTGGCAATATAGAGATCTATATCCTTTAAGACTGAAAAAACATAACCCAACCCAACATCCAGATTTGGAGAGTAAATTATCATTTAAGCTGTTTAAATATTGTTAAATCCTGCATGCTATTTCCACTCTTACAAATGTTTATCCTAAGAGCCAAGCTTCACTTTCTAAACAGTTCCCTCTTTCCCATAATCAGCATTACATGTGAGAACTTGCCAGTTACTCTGCAGAAATGAATATACTTATCAATTATGACATAATTGCCAGGAATCTTCTTTTATAAATTAATCTTATTCTGTACATGATATAATCTAGTCTGGTTGTCTCCACTATTCTAAGTGTTTAGCTAGGAAGTCTAGGTAATTAAACAATGTTAATGAGGTCCATGGGGAAGAACTGTATCATATATGCCTGGGCATTTTCCAGAGCACAGGGTAGAAATGAATGTTTAATTGTGAACTAGACTAAGTATTCAAATTATATATATATATATATAAAATCCAAACATTTTGCTGAGATATTCTCTGCCCAATGGCCTTGAGGATCACCATAAACAGTTTACTGCATAAATACCAACCAATATGCTTAGTTTTCAGGTTGTATCTAACTGATATACAAAAAAAACTTTAAATGAACCTTTTTGGAAACTCAAAATGAATTTTAGCCTCTGAAAAAAAGGTACAACCAAAAGTTTCAAGTGGGGGAAAAAAAAAGCAAACCAGAAGTGGTACTATTTTTTCTTCCCTTTAACAAATATATGAAATGAGCTTATTTTTAAAATGGGTTGCTTAAAGTCATTTTGATATTTCCTCATCTATACAGGTTTAAATAAATAAATGGAAAGTGCTCAATGCAATGCCTGTACATCATCATTTTTAGGACCTGACTATATTATTATTAAAAGAGCTGACTGAAGAACACAATATAAAAAAGATATGCCACAGGGAGTCATTAAATTATCCACCTTACTTTGGTTGCTAAAAGGGGTAAAATTTAAGCCAGGGTAATTACCCAACAAGGACATCTCTTACATACTTCTCCCTCCTGGAATGAAATGGACTTCCTAAGTACCTCCAAGCCATGAAGAACTGGACTCAGTGCCCTGGGACCTTTGCGAGTGTACATGGTGCACAAACACACTTTCCTCGAGCTAGGTGGAACGTCGCTCTCCCTCCAACTCTTGTGCATATAACTCCTTGTATATTCCCTCTCTCATGAAAAAGAAACACTGTAGTAAGAGTGTGAAATTCCATAAATTTTACAGCTTAAGAGAACAGTTGTGATAAATACACTGAAACAACAAAATCAGCGACAAGAGTCTGGGCGGTGACAAGCAGCGGTGTGACATCTGGCGGAAGCCAAAGTCACAGCAAGGGGGAGAGAGGTGGGCGCGAGGAAGCATCCTGCCGAGCGTGGACACAGAAAAAAAAGAGGAACTGACAGTCTTCCTTTGGAGCCAGGCCAGCCTTTGCCACCTCTAATTGAATAGGACGATGTCGCTATGAGTGAGGGGCCTTGGAGAACGGTGCAATTTCTTTTGCAATGT